TTTTTATAGAGATGGGACCTTACTATGTTGCCCACGCTGGTCTTGAGCTCCTGGGCTCAAGTGATCCTCCTGCCTCAGCCTCTCAAAGTGCTAGGATTACAGGTGTGAGCCACTGTGAATGGCCATCACATTTTCTAATATCAATCTAGGCTTAGAGTAGGAAAAAATAACCTTTAGTCACCTGAGACAGGGTTTGAGATTGAATTTATGCAATCTCTGTGATACAGAAAATATGTGTTGAAAATTGAAATTAGAATTAATTTTAAATTAGCTTGCCTTATTCTGCTTTTGCAAGTGGAGGAATAGCTTGTATTGGACCAACTTTTTTACAGATAACAATGATAAACTCTGGATAAGATTATAAAAAAGAAGTGCCTGAAGGTACTGAAACATGGCCAAGGCAGGTAAAAACTGCAGTAGAGTCAATACTTGTAAGAAAAATATGGCACTAGGTTGGTGTCTATACTTTAAACTTTTTCACCTTATGGGTTGTCCCTTGTCTGGTCATAATGCAGTACTGAAAATTTAGCAACAACCCTGCAGACTTATTAGATGAAGAAACACAGAACAGAATGTAAGGTTATACAGGAACTGGAAAGTGAGGGGGGAGTCCAGGTAAAGAGAGTGCCAAAAGGAGCCATAAATGCAGTAGATAAACTCTGCCCAAGTCGCTGGATGACTATTGAATGTACCTATTAGGCCCAGCTGAGGGGAAAACAATGGAATGGAGATTTTGGCTAGTTCCCATCATTAGAGAGACAGAAAGTTTGGAGTCAAATTGACTGCATACACAAAAAGAACAAAGCTGGAGGCATTATGCTACGTGACTTCAAACTGTTCTATAAGGCTACAGTAACCAAAACAACATGATGCCGGTACCAAAACAGAAATATAGACCAATGGAACAGAACAGAGGTCTCAGAAATAACACCACACATCTACAACCATCAGATCTTTTTCAAACCTGACAAAAACAAGCAATGGGGAAGGATTCCCTATTTAATAATTGGCATTGGGAAAACTGGCTAAAAATGTGCAGAGAACTGAAATTGGACCCCTTCCTTACACCTTAGACAAAAATTTACTCAAGATGAATTAAAGACTTAAATGTAAGACCGAAAACTGTAAAACCCTAGAAGAAAACCTAGGCAATACTATTCAGGATATAGGCCTGGGCAAAGACTTCATGACTACAACACCAAAAGCAATGGTAACAAAAGCCAAAATTGACAAATGAGATCTAATTAAACTAAAGACCTCTGTACAACAAAAGAAACTATCATCAGAGTGAACAGCCAACTTACAGAATGGGAGAACATTTTTGCAATCTTCCCATCTTACAAAGGTCTCATATCCAGAATCTACAAATAACTTAAACAAATTTAAAAGAAAAAAAAATCAAAGAGTGGGCAAAGGATATGAAAAGACACTTTTCAAAAGGAGACATTTATGCAGCCAACAAACATGAAAAAAGTTTATCATCACTGGTCATCAGAGAAATGCAAATCAAAACCATAATGAGATACCATCTCATGTCAATTAGAATGGTGATCATTAAAATGTCGGGAAACAACAGATGCTGGAGAGGATGTGGAGAAATAGGAACTTTTACACTGTTGGTGGGAGTGTAAGTTCAACCACTGTGGAAGACAATGTGGAAACTACTCAAGGATCTAGAACCAGAAATACCATTTGACCCAGCAATCCCATTACTGGGTATATACCCAAAGTATTATAAATCATTCTGCTATAAAGACACATGCACACGTATGTTTATTGCAGCAGTATTCATAATAGCAAAGACTTGGAACCAACCCAAATGACCATCAATGATAGACTGTATAAAGAAAATGTGGCACATATACACCATAGAATACTATGCAGCCATAAAAAAGGATAAGTTCATGTCCTTTGCAGGGACGTGGATGAAGCTGGAAACAATCATTTTCAGCAAACTAACAGAGGGAAGAAAACCAAACGCCGCGTGTTCTGGCTCATAAGTGAGAGTTGAACAATGAGAATACATGAACATAGGGAGGGAAACATCACACACTGTGGTCTGTTGTGAGGTGGGGGCTAGGAGATGGATAGTATTAGGAGAAATACCTGATATAGATGACGGGTTGATTGGTGCAGCTAACCACCATGGCACATGTATACCTATGTAACCTGTACATTCTGCACATGTGTCCCAGAACTTAAAGCATAATTAAAACAAAAAATGCCAAGACCCTATCAATAAGTCGGATTTTGCCCTATATATTAATTAGAAATAAACATGGCTTTTAAAAACTATTGATTTTTAGGTGTTAGAACTCAAATTAGAAAAGTTAAGTGAAATTATTTTATTTTAATCTTCAGATCTCCAGTGCTAGGTTAATAATTGAAAAAGATATAATACCACTGCATTGTTAAGAACAAATTCATGTATATCAGTATGTATGGGGATCTTAAGAAGACACAACAGATTGCCAAGCAAAGCAGCTCTGGGTGCAGAGAGGTTAAAAGAGAAAAACAACAACCAAAAAGTAAACTAATAAAGATAATATTCCTTAGGAGACCATAATAGAATTCTTAGTCTTCCTAACATATAATTCAAAATATTCAGGATATAGGCCGAGCACGGTGGCTAACACCTATAATCACAGCACTTTGGGAGGCCGAGGTGGGCAGATCACCAGAGGTCAGGAGTTCAAGACCAGCCTGACCAACATGGAGAAACCCCGTCCCTACTAAAAATACAAAAAATTACCCAGACTTGGTGGCAGATGCCTGTAGTTTCAGCTACGCAGGAGAATAAGGCAGGAGAATCCCTTGAACCTGGGAGTGGAGGTAATGGTGAGCCCAGATTGTGCCATTGCACTCCAGCCTGGGCAATAAGAGCAAAACTCAGTTTCAAAAAACAAAAAAACAAACCAGAGTGATGTAACTTATACTCAAGGGAAAATGTAATTAATAGAGATCAACCCAAAGATACTCCAGATGTTGTAATTGTCATTAACTGGTAAGGATTTTAAAGCAATTATTATAAATATGTTCTATATGTTTATTATGAATATACTCATAATAAACTAACATATAGAAATTCTTAGCACAAAAATAGAAACTATAAAATGGAATCAAATGGCAATTCTAGAACTAAAAAAGATATTAGAGATAAAAAAATTGCTGGATTGGTTTAAGAAGAAGCTGGAAATTACAGAAGAGTCAGTGAAATTGAAGATGAATTGATAGAAATTGCTTAAGAATTCCAGCGACCTGTGTGATAATATAGAAATGTAACTGAAGTCTCTGAGACTTCAGGAGAGTTGAGGGAGAATGGAGTGAAACAAATACTTAAACTGATAGCGAAGTGTTTCCAAATTTGGTGAAAGATACAAATTTATTCTTTCAAGAAGCCCAGATAATCCTAAGAATGTTTAATACAAAGAAATTCCACAAAACCATGCTAGACACCCCCAACTTGCAGCTGGGCATGGTCACACCCATAATCCCAGCACTTTGGGAAGCTGAAGGTGGGGAGGATTGTTTGAAGTCATGAGTTTAAGACCAGCTTACACTACATAGTGAGACTCCCACTTCTACCAAAAAATAAAAAATTAAAGAGAAGATCTTAAAGGCAGTGGAGAAAAATTACATGCTACATACAGAAGAACAGAAAAATGATAATAACTAGCTAATTTCTTAATCAGAAACAATGAAGACCAGAAGACAATGGAATGTTACATTTAAAATGCTGAGAGAGAGAAAGAAACTGTACATTCTATATCCAGGAATAATTTCTTTCAGAAAGAAAGCAAAAGAAGGATATTTTTAGCTAAAAGAAAACTGAGAGAATTCCTTAATAGCAGGCTTATACTACAAAAAATGCTGAAAAAAGTTTTTCAGGCTGAGGGAATATAATAGCAAATAGAAACTTAGAACCTCGGAGGAATGCAGAGGATGAGAATGATAAATATGTGGTCAACGGTAAAATATAATTTTATTACAATTAAAATAATGCATATAAGCATTTAAAGTAAAAATTATAACAGCAATTAAATTTCATATGTAATTAAATACAGATTTAAATGTAATTTATATGGCAATTAGAGCATAAAAGCAAGTGAAGTAAACTGTATAAATGCAATAAATTTACGTAATTATATGAAGTGTTTTAAGATTGTATTGCTTGGATTAGGCCTTAGTACGAATGAAAAAATTCCGAGGTTAGTCTGTAAAAATATATAGCCTACAGTGCCTGGATTAGTCAATGTAAGCAATGCTACATTGTAAGCAACATGATTTGCTTACATGGATTTACATGGACTAGCTGCTTACATAGACAAAACCTGACATTTCAGTGGCCTAACACAATCAGCATTTATTTTCTTCCCACATCATAGTTTGGTGTAGCTCAGTATATTGATAGCTCATCCACATGGCTCTTTTCCAATAGTGACTCCATAATATTGTCTGCTTTTGTCTTGCTTCTTAGTTATCTGAAGACGAGAGAGACTATGATGAAAAATCACATCTACTTTTAACTGCCTTGTCCCAGAAGTTACACATTACTTTAGACTTCATTTAACAAGAAATAAGTAACAAGCTCACACCAAAATTATTGAGGCTAAGGAAACATTGAATAATTATGCTCAGGAATATGAAGTATCTGATGTACCCAGCGCTGTCTCTGCCACAAGTCCAAATTAGTGAATGAAAAGATTCCCACATTTAATCAATTTAAAAATTCAAAAATTAAGTAAAAAACAAAATGTAAAAAGTTGAACAAATGTAAACCCTCAAAGTCCTTTTCTTATTGTTAACACCTTATACTGGAGATACTAATTTCACAGAAGAAACTGAACAAACATAAAAAATGTTAAAGAATGGCTCATCAAATACTTTAAGTATTTGTTTTCTCAGAATATTAATACATAAAAGATTTTGTTTAAAGAGACTTTTCTACTCCATTTGTGTGACTAGAAGCCTTATGTAAGAATGATTTCATTTATCACTAGGCACTAGATGAACCAGTCAAGACTGAAAATGTCTCCAAGGACAGCACATTAGAACCACCTGTGGAGGTAATAACTTCAGATTACCCCTGCTTTTGGTATGCAATCCCAAAACTTATTGCTAACCCAGTACCTGGTTTCAATTCTTCCAGTTGTATTTTCCTGCACAGCTCAGGCAGCAAACTGAAGAGGTCTGTGCTACCATTGATAAGGTCTTACAGGATTCCTTGTCTATGGTAATACCTTAGACTAGAATGTGCAATTCAAACATTTGCTTTGCTTCTCTCCATTTTCCTCTACTTTCGTATGATGCCTCACAGGCGTTTCCTTTTCTTTCCTTTTCTCTTCTTTCTTCCTTCATTTCTCTTTTTTTCAGCATTCTTCTGATTCTCCTTCAAGGTTCCCAAAGACATTGTTGGGTTCTGGCACAGTCAAAGTATGTATGTATTTAATATAATTTATGGAATTGTAAGGTTTATTAGGTCAGTGATTTCCAAACTGCAAGTCAAGGTCCAATAGTTAATTGGGAAATAAGTTTAGTGAATTGCAATCAGTACTTTTAGTAGACTTTTAAAGATAGTAAATATTAGACTTGATTACAAATAACGTATAGCTTTTGTTGACATTTGTTTACATGTACACATAGAATGCAAGGTAAGTGTGTACAGGGTTGCAAAGTAAAACCTCTTTCTGTGGATCAAGTTTAAAACAGTTTGAAAGCCAACATTATTTTTTAAATGTTGACATTTAGAATGTATAATATGTGGCTCATTCTCATCTCAAACAATAGATTCAATATTTATGGAATTTGTAGCCACTTAGAGAAGTAAAAAGTAAAGTAGACTAAAGTAAAATTCGTCTAAGAGCTTCAACAGAAGTATCATTTCTGGAATTTTTTTTTCTTTTTGTTGGTGGAATTTATTTCATTATTCTTTGACTCAAAGGGAAGTAAAAGTGGATATTTTAGATTGTTAGAGTACTACCAAACTATTAATTGTTGTAATTGAGTATGTATTTCTTTCTTATAAAATAGTTATTTTCATTTGTTGGTATAAAATGCTACATTTCTCCAAATTATTTTTTTCAAACATGTAGTTAAGCTCTACTCATCCAAATTTCAAAATGCCTATAATTTTTCCTTTATTGATAATTGTTAGTTATTGTGTTTTTTTGTTCAAACTTATTTATTTATTTACTTGGAATTTGTATACTTTTTTCCTGTCCTTTCTTAAAACATGGGGCACTGTACATCTGAAGTAATTTTCAAATCTACAGAAATATACACAACTGGAAGAGTAATCCTGATTTTCAATTGGAATATTATCAACAAATATCCATTAGTAATGACATAGAAAACCCAGTAATCAATTATTGTCATATTAAATAATTGTAATTTAGCAGAAGATTCACAAATGGATAATTTTGAAGTCTATTTTATTATATATCCTTTAAGCCTTTTAATCTAAAACTTTGATTTGTCAAAGATACTATATAAATTTTTAAACATATATGTATTTATTTTATTTGTTGAACATGTAAAAGACATTAAATATAATAATAGAATTTAAGAATTATATATGAAAAATAATGTATATTACTGGTTTCTTTAACAAATATTTAATGCTTATGGTGTTAAAAAAAAAACAGTATTTTAGGCCACTAAAGATAAGGCAGTTTTTTATTCAGCAGGTATTTATTAAACACCTGCCATATGTCTGGTGCTGCAAGACACTAGGAACCTAAGCAAGGCTGAGTAAATTAAGGTATATGCTTTAAATGTAGTGATCAAGGGTGGAATTCAAGCTGAGACCCAAAGATGGAAAAGAGCCAGCCACAGAAATTTTGATCAGGAATAATAGCTTTCGGGCAGAGAAACAGGCATGTGTAAATTTCTTGAAGCACAAAAGAGCTTAGCGTGTATGAAGATAAAGAAGATAGCCAATGTGCTTGCTGCAGACTGAGCTAGGGATGAAGAGTGCAAAAAGGATGTTGAGAAACTGGTTATGCACAGCGATTTAGACACTTACTTGCTATGGTATGAAGTTTGAATTCCAAGGAAAATGAGAAGACATAAAACCATGGTGGGTGTAATATGAAACCATACAAGATGATCAATATGGCTGCTGTGAGGAGGCTGCTGAGAGCAAGGAAACGGTCAGTGATGGTGGTCTGGATAGGGTAGGTTCAGAAGAGGTGGAGAGAAGTATGAGGGTTTGAGGCTTGCTGAGAGTTTGGGTGTGGGTAGTGAAGGAGAGAGAAGAATCATGAATGAACTGCAGGACTCACCTTGAAGATCGACAACAGCGAAGGAAGAGCTGTATCGTGGCAGGCAGAAGGTATGCCAGTTTTAGACAAGAATGAATTTGAGGTGTTTATCATGAAAGCTTATACCTGTGTGTTTGAAGCTGATCAGAGGTATTTGAGGGTCATTGTCATGTAGACATTGTGAATGTCCTGTACAGAGCTCCAAGGAACAGAAAATCACAGGTCTGACAAAGGAGGTGAAGAGCCAGCAAATGAGAATGGAAAGGCTATTATGGTTAAGAGGAAAATCAGAGCAGTGTGGTACATGGGAGCTATAAGAAGAGAGTGTTTGCGAATGTAATTGTGTTGATTATGGCCAAGGGTTAGAGGAAGGTAAGTCTAAAGAAGTGTCTATTAGGTTTGTCTTGTATATTTTGAAACCATATTGCTGGTGCTTGTGTGTTGACAATCATTCTTGTTTTTGAGTTTTTAGAAGGTTTATCAGCATATGTAATCATTTTTTAATTTAAAGTTTTTCTCTTCAGTATTAAAATAGTGACTTTATAATTCTAATTCTTGTTTTCCTACATGTATATTTTACTGTTATTTTACATTTTTTAATGCCCTTTTGTTTAATTTTCTTCAGAACACCGTATTTCTGGATATCATTTTTACATTCAGTTAGATTCTATTTATCAGAGCCCTTAAGCCATTTATAATTATTTCAGTTCTTGTTATGTTAGGTTGATTTTTTGCTATCTTATTTTACGTTTTCTATTTAAAATGTTTCTTTTTCTCTTGTCTTTCTCTCCTTTCCTCAGGCAATTTTGTTATTTACTGTCGAACATTTTGAACATTTTACTTCGTATTTTGTTACTTTTGGTAGTTACACATACATATTAAAATTATTATGCTTATTTTTTCCATCAATTTTAAAACTTATAAATGTCTTTCCCCCAATTTTATAAGTACTATAGCATTTTTCAGTTTCCACTTGTTTTTAATCAACCTATATATACGAGCACATACACGTATGATTTATTAGTCTTGTTTTTAGCTTTATGTCTGAACACGTCTCGATCTTTCCTTTGTTTAGATACTTATTTCTGATTTAGACCCTTATTTTGCACACATTCAAAGGTTTTTCCTGGATTTATTGTTTTTCTTGTTGGAATCTTGCTTCAAGCTGTATAAAGTAAGATCTTTTTGTGTAGATTTTGTGAACTTTGTCCATGATAACATCTTTATCTTACCTTTTCGTTTAAATTATAGTTTTGCCGCACATAAAATTGTAGGTCCTCTCTCTTCAACACTTTCCCCCTAGGTTGTTTTTCTTCAACAACATACTTATGAGTATTTTGTCAGCATGATACTTGTTCCTCTGCTATAAAGTGATCATTTATAGAGTTGCTTTGTAAGCTTTTAAAACTTTACGTATGATCTTACAAAATTTTCAAATTATGTATGTATGCACTTTTTTACTTATTTTGATTGGTACTCTTTATGATCATTTATATGATATATTCAATCTTTTCTTCCCCTTACATTCTTGGTAATTTTTATATCATTATTTTTGCAAATATTCCTTCCCGCATGGAACTCTTATCATACTGATTTTGTCACTTTCAATTCTGTATTTATTGTCTCTTGCTTTTCATATTTTTCTATTTATTATTTTGTAATTCCTTCAAGAGGAATTCTTGATCTGATATTCCAGTTCAAGAATGTATTCAGTATCTATTCTTTCCTTCAATTCCGGTATTAAGTTAACATAGTTTAGCTAACATAGTTTTTTCTTCTAAATCAGATTTATTGAGGAGGTATAATTTAATCACTGTAAACTCCATCCTTTTAGTTTACAGTTCTGTGTTTTGACAAAAGAATCCAATTATATAATTACCACCACATTCCAAAGAAAACATTTCCTTCACCTGAAAAAGTTCCCTGGTTCTCCTTTTTAGTATATTCCTTCCTCCAATCCGAGTCCTGGGAAACCACTTATCTTTTCATGTGTTCCTCTGCTTTTGCCTTTTCTAGAATATCATATAAACATAATAATATAATCTGTAGTCCCTTCAGCCTCTACTTAGTAGAAGGCATTTGAAATTCAACCATATCATTGCATTGCTGTTTTTTTAGCTCAGTTTTAAAAAAATTATTGTTGAGTAATATGCACTGTGTGGATGTACTATCCTTTATTCACCAATTTATAGATGGTTGGGTTATTTCTAATTTGGAGCTATTACTAATAAAGCTGCCAAGAATGTTTTTAAAGACTTTGTATGGATATATGCTTTCACTCATCTTGGGTAAATACTTAGAAGTGGAATAGAGGAACCATTGTTTTCTTTTATAGTATTTAAGTTTTTCAGATGTCTTATTATATTTATAAACTCAAATTTCCCTGAGCATGTTAGCTAAGTTGGGTGTATGTATGCCTGCTGCCTGGGGTGACAGGTCCCCAAGCCCAGGTCCTAGCACTTGCCAGTTTTGGTGAAGTTTATTTATTTATTCCTTAAGAGCAGGAGGAACATGTACTTCAGAAGGGAGAAGTGCTATAGTATCTACCAGTTCCCACTTGCCACTTCCTCTCCACTCTGGTGCCCTCAGCCCTCACCTCTGCCTACCTGCACCTCTGCTTATGGTATATTCTTCTCTTCCAATAGCTGTCTCAGTCATCATTGCTGAGGCAAAGGATCAAGGGAAAGATTCATCAGAAGCTGGCAAGTTGTTGAAACCTGTAGTTAACTATTTTCTCCCCCAAGGCTGAAGGACCACTTTGGTATTATCTTCATTGTTACTTCTTTTTCTTACCCTCAGATTTGAGAAAGCAGGGATAAAGTACGTAAAAACAGAACAAAACAAAACAATTATTTTTAAATGTTTGGCTGTTAAAAGGAGAAGGAATTTAGGTAGATAGTGAGGGCAAGAAAGAATGTTTTGTGAAGCTGAAAATGACAAGATCAAATTTGCATACGGTGGTGTTGGTCTCAGTAGAGAAAGTACTAATTCTACCGAAGAAAGGGAAATAATGGTCTGAAGTTTTGTGCCCCACCTATCCACTCAGAATTCATATGTTGAAATATGTGAAGGTATTAGAAGGGGGCCATGAGGAATGATTGGGTTATAAGGATGGGGACCTTATGAATGGGATAAGTTCTATACAAAACAGTCCTGAGGGAAACCTCTTAACCCCTCCCACCATGTAATGACGTGGAAGATGGCACCATCTATGAACCGGAAGTGGGCCCTCACCAGACACCAAATCTGCTAGTGCCTGGATTTTAGACCTCCCAGCCTCCAGAACTGTGGAAAATAAATTTCTGTTGTTTATAAGCCACCCAGTCAATGGTGTTTTGTTATTGCGGCCCAAATGTGCTAAGACCATGTGATAAGAAGCTGGAAATGTCCTCCATTGGAACAGGACAGAAAATAAAGGACATGACAGGTACAGATGCAAGAATGTTTATAGTTTGGTGGAAGAGAAATAATTTTATAACCAATATCTCTAGTTATTTCATAACTAACACCTTCCAATAAAGTAAAATTTAAGATCATAACCAAAATTAAGGAGAGAAGGTATGATGGGGATGAATTTGAAAAAGTTAAAAAAAAAGTTTATATACTCTGCTTTCAATTTTGTTTCTCTGGTTTCCTCTTAACTCTCCAATTTTGTGTTGCCAAAACCATTTTTTCCAAGGTTCTTGAAGTCCTTCACATTGCTATAAATCCAGTCCTGATCTGAGATGACAGCAACAGAATTTGAAACAATTGCTCATGCCCTCCTTTTTGATATGTTTTCTTCTAGGGTATTTTAGAACTCCGTACTCTGTTTTTCTTCTATCTCACTTATTATTATTATTTCTTAGCATCATTTGCTGGTTCATCTTCTTCATTCCAAACTGTTAATGTTGGAATTCTCTAGTCATGAGTCCTCAAACTTCTCATTCCTCTCTACATTCATTCTTTTGCTGATCTCAGCCTGATTTATGTTTTAAAAATTAAGTACATATACACTGACAACTCTATTTCTAGTTCAGGATTCTCTCTCAAACTACAGACTTCCAAATACCTACTCATCATTTCTATTTAGATTTCTAACAAATGTCTTATACTCAATATGCATACAAATAAAATCTAGATTTTTCTCCTACAGAATGATTCCTTATGTTGCCTTCTCATCTCCACTGGTAAAATTTCACTTTTCAGTTTGCTCAAGGTCAAAAACTTTGGTGTGATGTTTTGTTTTTCTCTTTCACATTTCACATCTCTTCTGCTAGAAATCCTGTTTCTATAGCTTCAGAATATGTCAACGATTATTTCATGGCTTCTGCATTACTGAGCCATCATATTTTATTGGGTAGTACAAGAGTTTTGTTCTTATGCCTCTAACTCACAATAGTTCATTCTTAACACATCAAACACAGACAAACTTTTAAAGCACAAGTTAGATCATGACCCTCCTCTGTTTAAAACCAGAAGTGCTTTATACATTTCCCTCAAATTATTAGCAAAGTCCTCTCAAGGTCCTGGAAGGGTCTATATGGTCTGGTGCCCCAGTACTTCCGTGATTAAATTTTCTCTCTCCTTCACTCGCTCTACCCCAGCCCTGCTAGCCTTCTTGCTGTTCCATGAATGTGTCAAGCATGCTCCTATCGTAGCACATTTAGTTCCTTTTCAAATTAGTTATACCACTGATTATTTTATAGTTTCTAGCATACTGTAAAAATTTTCCAGCTTAACTTTTATCTCCTAAATTATGGTTCAGTATGGTTATTTTCAGTCTGGTTCTGAAAAAACAAATTTCTGAATCTCTGTGGGTCTTTTTCTGGCTGTCTAGTATTTCTGCTCATCCTCATTTGCATTGACTTGCCTCTTTGTGTATCTGAATCTGATTGTGTACTAGAAAACCTATGTGAAAACGTCTTAATAGAAATGGAGACTTCAGATGATAACTGTCTTTCCATAGAGAGTCTTTTCTTTGTTTCTGTCAAACATTGGGAGCACTAGCAAGAAAAAACTACCTGAATTTAATTTAAGGTTCTGAGATTATTTTTTCTAGACAGTCATCTTCACATAATTTGACACTAGGCTGAGGACCATGTGAGTCTTCTGGGTCACTCTTACTCCTAGGAGCTCAAACTGTTCTTGGCAAGTCCTGGTTGACTTTTCTCTCTCTATGCCTGAGAGATATCAAAAGTTTGGGTTAGCTTTTCAAGCAATTCATCATTATTTGCAAACACCCTGAGGGCACAAGCAGTTTGAAATGCTGGGCTTCTCTCTTCAGGTTCCCATCCTCTTTTAATTTGGCCCAGTAATTATTCACTCTCTTTTTACTACATTGATGTCTTTGGTAAATATTTTTCAATATGTTGGTCAGATTTTTTTCTTGTCCTTTATGGAAAGATTACTTCCAGTTTTCTACCCACCTTTCTCAGAGGAGAAAATCTACCTTAGAAACTTTGTGCTTGTTCCTTCTTTTTGGAATGCTCTTTATCTAGAGTAGTACCACATACCCAACTTCCTTACTCCTTCAAGTCTTTGAAGTCTCCTTCAAATGTCACCTTCTCTACGTTGATCATCTGATTTAAAACTGTAAGCTCCCAGCACTCTTGACCTCCTTAACATTTAGGTGGTCCAGAAAAATACAAGGTATTTTGTAGAAGCAAAGAAAATTTTATCTGGAAGCATATTTTTCATTGCATTTATTCCTTTCTAACATATAATTTACTTATGTATGATTTTATTGCTTATTTCATTTATTCGAGAAGTGAACTCCTCTGTGGTAGGACAGCTTTGTATCTTTTGTTCACCAATACGTCCCAGGAGTGTATAACAGTGATTGGCACACAATAAATATGTGTCGAGTGGACAAATGAATCAAATAGCTATTTCATCTCAGAAAGTGGGCCTACAAAAGAAAAATTGGGGGCAATATTGAATGCACATTCGAAATTGAGAATTATTAGTTTAAAATTAATTATTTTGTTTGAAAGAGTTTCTCCAATAATGTTTTGCTTCTCCGATTCAAGTATGGGGAAAAATGAATAGTAAGGCCAATCTAGGGTTGAGTTTTGTTTTTTTTTTTTTTTGAAATAAACTTGTCACAGGAAGAGAAGAAGATAAAAAAATTAAAGTATTAAAATGACTTATAATAATAAAAATATATGAGCTGAGAGGTAAAGCCAGAATAAAGCCAATGAAAGTCAGTGATTTGGAGGTCTCAGTGATGTGGATGTTTCACTGGTGGCACTAGAGAAATAAAGATGGTGGATAGGAGGGAGAGTTCTGAGTGTGGGAGATTTGTAATTGATATTTCTGAGAGTTTCTGTTTTATTGGTGAATGCGAAGTCCAAGAGCTTTCCGGGAGTGAATGATTGAAATGGAGTAGATGAAAACATCTTTGGAATTGAGGAGGTCAAAAAATTGAAAAGACAGAGATTTTTGTATGAATTTTGAAATAGGCAAAAGTTATGGAAGAAACATGAGGGAAGAACTATTAGGATCTTTCCTAACAGTGAGTTAACATCATCAGTACATAAGAAGAAATTACCAGAAAGCTGATAGATAAAATAAGTGAAAAGTAAAATCAAGTGATATCATTTTATTAAATAATTTTCTAAAAGATGATATTGTATAGAGAGAGCAATGTTTAGAAAGTCTCAACTGAAAAGGTGAACACATTCCAGAAGTTGAATCTATTATTATTTACTTTATTATTTCAGAAGTAAAATTGTTTTTATTTTCATACAGACTTCTACAACTCTTCCAAGAGCAGCTGGTCGAGAAACCAAATATGTAAGTACCTTTATAATTATACACACTGCTTTTGAAATGGGTGCCTGTGCTTTGGAGAGAACACAATTATAAAGTAATTTAAATAGAATTAGTTGATTTTTTAAAGAAGTTGAAGGGTATGATGAGATGGTTGGCTCAGATATGAAAAATCAGATTATGTCAGAGATAAAACATCAGGTAAGCTTATCACATTCATTCTTAAGTGAGGTCTAATTTGATCAGTTAGCTAAATAAAACAGAACTGCCATACTTGGTATCTTTCTAGTTATCAATGCTTAGATGATGTTTTCATTTTTGCAATGGTTGATAGTGCTTATAAAATAGTCAGATCATATACTTGAAACATTAAGATTTGTCCATTTCTAATCGGATTGCCAGTTTAATCAACTTTGACTATTTTGTTGTTTTCTTGCATTTAAATTATTAACAAATAAATCAATTTCTACTTATGAGCAAAAATAGATTAATAGTGGATTAGACTCACACGTTCAAGTCAAGTAATTATGAGTAGCTGGCTCTGAGTGCGTTAGACATACACATGCATAGCCTCATCCCAACTAGTGTTCACTATCTAATAATTGTATTTTCCATCATGTGGTCAACTTATGCTTCTGACCAAACTTACTCCAGTTGAAACAAAATTATCTCCTTAATAAGTGTTTAGTTTTTAGTCTAAAACAAATGAGTAAAGTGTTTCACTTAAATTATATATTTGTGGTTTTTGTCATAATTGTGAAGAGTAAATAGTTATTAAATGTTTATTTTGTGCCATGTCATCATTGCAATTTATACAGTTCTGCCTTCATTTGAATCTCCCCAAGGCAAGTAATAAGTTGAAATTACTAAATTTTACCACATCCAGAAAAATTATGTTTAGAGGATGTGGGTAGGAACACTGCTTAGAGCATTTCCTGGAAGTCTTGCTGTTATTTTTCATTATTATTGGAAGCCATTTGGAGTAATACTTAAAAAGAATGAAGGCATTTAGTAGACTAGATCCAAGTTTAAATCACAGTGTTACTTTTAGATAACTGATTCTGGGAAAATTACTCACCATGTTACCTTTCTGTGCCTTTGTTTCTTCATCTATGAAATGTGGATACTAATAATTTTCTTGTGTAAAATTTATATTAGCTAATATACAAAAAACCCTTAATGCAATCCGGTTACAAAGGAATTGCTCAATACCTAAATGCTTTTCCTTTCCTTTCCTGTTTTCCTTTTTGCACATCTCCTTTCTTCTCTACCTCTTACGTATCTTTGGAATACTGGAAGTACTGTGATTTAGTTTAATTTCTTGATTCTTGAGTGGGTACAAGAAAAGAAAGTTTTCCTAAAAGTGTTTCCATACTTTTTGTGACTAATACATTTTACAAGAGCCAGACCATCAAAAAAATCTCCAGAATTTTTGCTTTCTCATTCTCGTCTCTTATCTATTCTTGCCTTTCAGTAAAATGTCTAATTAGATTAGTTTTCAGCAGGTTCAGTGGATTGACGTCACTATCCGTTTCTCTCTGGAAGTGGTTAATTTGGTAGCAATTAAAATGATTCTGAAGCAGCTTCTTCAATCTCCATAGCTTAAAATTATTTCAAATTATTCTTTATTTTCAATCAATTATCAGACTTAATAAAAGTAGATTAACTTTCATGCTCTTAATGTTGTGAGAACATGTAAGTCATTTAAAGTTAAGAATGAACCATCAAACAGGTTCAGTATAGGCTAGAACAAATATAACCTTTATTTCAGGTAAGGTTCTTTACCTTAATTAAAATTCATTTCTTGAGTAAGAAGCTTTGTTTTTACTTTATTTTACAACATGACATTTGGATTATTGTTTGTGGCACCTGATATATGCACACATCTTTTGGAAGACCATAAGAGATCATTTTACAATGGAAGGTCAAAACTAGTTTTGGCACCAGCTCAAGGTTTAGTCATATTTGTACATACTCAGCTGTAGTTATTACAGTTTACTAAGTGATACCTGATGCATTTATTTAGAGGAGAAAAGATTAAATTGTAGAACAGAAGTCCACTTTAGCTATAAGTTTTGATCTTAGATGAACAAGAGCTTATCATGTATGTCTTAATATAATACATTGACTTTTAAAAAATAATGACATTGTAATATTTTCTTCCAAAAATTAGGATGTTCATATTGACTGAACTATGGGATGTCTCACTTTATGAGTTTACTAGCTATAATTTAATTAATTAATTAATCACTATGTTTTCCCTCTTCTCCCATGAAAACTAAAAAGCAACTCTGAGAAGGCTATTTCTGTGACATTTCAATATTTCACCATCTGTCTTCAAACTTTGGAGAAACTAGTCATCTTCAGAGTATATACCTGCTGGGACTCAATGCGTCATTGACTTTGTAGATATTCTTAAATTCCAGAGCAGGGATCATGCAGGTTACCAACTCCTATACCACAGAGGAGGTTGAACAAAGGGAACACACAAATTAAAGCAAAGAAAAAAAAGTTTTGTTACACTTGAGGATATCCTGAACAAGTTAGTACTAACTACCTAAAATAATATATCTGACTACTACATATTATATGTCTCAAACACATGGATATATACAGTTATTATTTGCCAATAAAAAATAAAAATTAAAAAGGTATAGTATATAATCTATGAATCAAGACTAATAGAAAAGCTAGTCACTATTTCTAGCCCTGTTATTCAGTTTCCACCTGTATTCATTGATTCAACAAATATTTATTTTGTGTCTGCCAAGTACTATTCACTGAGGAGTCACTGGGGTGAGAGGAGTGAACACAGTGATAGGGTGCTAATTTCTGAAGCATATATTCCAATGGATAAGACAGATAGTAGATAGTTAAAATAGTAAATGAACAAAATACTTTGTTGTAGAAATAGAGGAGAGGTAGCCAGAGAACCAACTGATGTTAAAACCAACTTACAAACTTGCTAGTTTTCAAAGTATTCATAGGTTTTCCAGTTTTCCTGAGATAATTATAATGGTTTAATAAAAGAAAAAAAGTGTATAACTAATTCCATTTTATAGGCCTTTGATGTAAGGCTTTCTCTTAAAAGAAGAAAAAAATGAACAAAAAAACACAAAATAATATTTTTTTCTTTGGGTCTTTACTGCACGTATTGTGAAATTTTACAGGGTCTGTTTTATACGATGAACCAGGTACAGTAAAAGCAACACTAATTCAGACTAGTTAAAGTAAAGGTTTTCTCCAGTCCATGGTGTGCTTAAATTGTGGGCTGTTTTAAAGTAATATCATTGAGATTCTTTTTAGTGTAATAAAATTGAAAGTAGGCTAACAGCATGCTGAATAGGGAGTGAGCCTAGGTCATTTGCAGGGTTGATTAATTTATCGTCAATATTTTATTTGATTCTTTTAAAAAGATGTTTAATTGAACAATAATAAAACTAATATTTTGAGCTCTTAACTTGAAATAAAGCTTAACTATCTAATTTAAATCATATACCAAGCATATGAAGTGGGTATTTTTATTTTAAAATCTCCATTTTACAGAGGGGAGAAAACAAGTTTCAGAAGTCACAGAGAAGGCAAAACCCAACCCAAGTTTGCTTCATGTCAAAGTTTCTGTCACTGATATTTCTATATACTTAGAGACGTATAAGTCCATACTGGAAATAGTTCGTGTTCTTTAAATATTTTATCCATTCATGTTTATACTCTGGGTCCAAATTATGTCTTCATGCCCAGTAACCTTCAGCCTAAATTTAGAAGGAATGATTTCATATTTGGTCATATTAACATCTAAAATGATAATGATTTACTGTTTCTAAGATTTTAAATCATGTGCTTAAATGTACATTAACTCATAATATATCAGATAAGGTATAAGAGCGTTACTTCTCATGACACTCATTTTTAAAGTTTATTTTCTTCATGTAAAGAAATTTCCTTTCTAAACAAATTTTGATTTTTTAAAAATTTTTTGTGGGTACATAATAGGTATGTACGGGGCACACGAAATATTTTGATATAGGCATGCAATGCATAATAATTGCATCATGGAAAATAGAGTATCTGTCCCCTTAAGCTTTTATCCTTTGTGTTGCAATCTGATTATATTCTTTTAGTTATTTTAAAATGTACAATTAAATTATTGAGTATAGTCACTTGGTTGTGCTATCAAATACCAGGTCTTATTAATTCTTTCAATTTTTTTTATACCTGATAGCCATCCCCACCTCCCCACCCCAAAGCAACCCCCACCCGTCCCAGCCTCTGGTAACCATTCTTCTCTACTCTCTATCTCCATTAATTTAGTTGTTTTGAGTTTTAGATTCCACAAATAAGTGAGAACATGCATTGTTTGTCATTCTGTGCCTGGCTTATTTCACTTACTCTATACATGTTGCTGCAAATGACAGGATCTCATTATTTATAATGAGTGAATAGTACTCCATTGTGTATAAGAACTGTATTTTCTTTATTCAGTCATCTATTAAAGGCTACTTAGGTTGCTTCTAAATCTTAGATATTGTGAACAGTGCTGTGGCAAACATGTGAGTGCAAATAACTCTTTGATATAATGATTTTCTTTCTTTTCTGTATATGACCTGCAGTGGGATAACGTGTTAGATCATACATGATAGCTCTTTCTTTTTAGTTTTCTGTGGAACCTCCAGATTGTTCTTTATAGTGGTTGTACTAATTGGTGATGTACAGTCCCAACCACAAGGGTTCCCTTTTCTCTACATCCTCGTAAGCATTTGTTATTGCTTATCTTTTGGATCAAAGCCATTTTAACTGGGGTGAGATAATATCTCATCATAATTTTGATTAGCATTTATCTGATGATCAGCGACGTTGAGCATCTTTTCATAAGCCTGTTTGCCATCTGGATGTCTTCTTTTGAGAAATGTCTATTGAAATGTTATGCCCATTTTAAAACATAATTATACTTTTTATATAGAGTTGTTTGAGCTCCTGATATATGCTGATTATTAATTTCTTCTTAGATGGGTAGTTTGCGAATA